CTTAAAGCAAGAAGAAAATAAGAAAAAGATAAAAGGGAAAGGGAGATAAAAATAAATAAATTGCTTCTTTGCATGGATATTTGGCTTGAAGAGAAGCTGAAAAATAGACAGAATACCTACACCTAAATGAATTTCTACGAGAGTTAACCAATAATAGTTCAATTGTGTGTCATGTTCATTTTTAATGCATTCATTGTGCCAAAAGTACATTTGCTATTATAGGTAAGGTGGATGAAAGCTTTAGGTGGCGCAATGTAAGTCCCAGTCTGTTGATTGAATATGTTTGCACCACCCAATTACTATAAAATGCAATTATAGTTCGCATTGATTTTAATTGGATGCACAGTGGACAGTCGAACGCCAGGAGCGGAGACAAGATCACTGCTGGTGACTAAATCTCTTTTACTTAATGCCTTGATTAAACCCATCACCCTCCGCACTTAACAAAAGCAAAACAATTTTGATACCGTCGATCAGCCTCTGGGGAGTCCAGAGAAGCCAATTAACCTTGGTTGCCATTTACTTTGGGATGAGATCTGAGGGAACTCTAACCCAGTGTGTCATCTGTTATCTGCTACGTGATCTCATGGGGAAAAGCTGGCATAAACCTCGTAATTAATTTTTCTGGAACTGGCAGCATTTTTAAAAAGTCAGCTGGACCAGTGGACTTTGGGGTGGCTGGTATGAGTTCTGGCCAGAGGTCGTGAAGCTCAGGAACTTTGAGCGTACTTGTGTGTTTTTAAAAAGATTAATTGGTGGAGTTTGGAGCTTCATCTGCATTGGCTTGAACGAGTGGTCCAAGTGAAGCTTTAATGGCATTGCAAGAAAATATCACTCACATACGCGATGAAGAAAGTCTAGTGCAAAACTCCAAAAAGCTGGACAATGCCTAAATATATTTGCAAAGAGAAAACTGAGGGGAAAATAGCTTGAAAATGTTCCAGGAATATTTATTTAGCTTTATTTATTTTTTATTTGTTTAATTATTATTTTTTTTATAATATCACTATACATTACAAACATTTGTCTGTAGTTGACTGATTTTGCAAAAACTGAAGCTGAATTAAGAATGCTAATTGAGGTAGTTGACAGATACTCTTGATATGCCACACCTGTGAGGTGGATGGATTATCTCAGCAAAGGAGAAGTGCGCACTAACACAGATTTAGACAGATTTGTGAACAATATTTGAGAGAAATAGGCCTTTTGTGTACATAGAAAAAGTTAGATCTTTGAGCTCATGAAAAATGGGGGCAAAAACAAAAGTGTTGCGTTTATAATTTTGTTCAGTGTATATATAATTTATTCGCTCAAGCATGTTAACTAGTTTTCTGTAATTACATTCCAAATTAATATAATACAAATTATAGTGTTATAAATGTACATTTTAAAAATGAAAATGTACATTTATAACCAGTACATTATTAAAATTATAAATATTTGTACAATTTTATAAAAAAAAAAACTTTGGCGAACCCAGTTCATCCCAGGCTCCTAGTCCCGGCTCGCGGTCCTTTCCCATTCCTATCCCCCCTCTCTCTCCCACTTCATTTCCTGTCAATGTTTACTGTCCTATCCTAATAAAACACAAAAATGGCAACAAACAAAAAAAACAAAACAAAAAAAAAACTTAATTTATGATGTAAATAACTGTGGAAACGCGTCATCACAGTCCATGAAAAAGTTCCATTGCTAAACTAACACAATACTTTAATAAAATTTATAGTACACACAAAATAATGAGAGAAATAATAAAAATGATTATTTATATTTTTACTATGGAATAAACTACATTTAAAATATTTAGTGTTGTCTTAGATTTTGGTTAAATTTACAGTGGTCTCAAATTCAATTCCTGAAGGGCCACAGCTCTGCAGAGTTTAGCTCCAACTCACACCTGCTTGGAAGTTTCTAGTAATCCTGAAGACCTTGATATGCTGGAACAGGTGTGTTTGATTAGGGTTGTAGCAAAACTGTGCAGAGCTGTGGCCCTCCAGGAGTTGAGTTTTAGACCAGTGGGTTAAAACAAGGAGTCCATTTTGGTGCCAACAGTTTGAAACAACCTTATTGTACCGGGTTATCAGCTTTGTTATGGGTACTGAAGGATGGGTTTAGAAAAGTGAATCTTGCTGTATGGACTAACATGTAACATGGACACATACTGTCTGACAGATATTACTGAAAGCTGCCTGATATTCTCCGTGGCAGCCCATGCAAACTGCAAAAATGAATCTGACCACAGGTGGCTATATTAGTCTGAGCACTTTGAGGCGTTCTCCACCTGTCAGTCATTTTGAGCAGCCAGGATAGCTGACATTGGGTTTGGAGGACAGGACTTGTAGAGACGGGCGGTCTAATTCAGTAGCAGAAGTTAGTGAAGCGGCTAACATCCCTCTTAGCACCTTTAAAACAAGGTAAATAACAGTAATTACTTTACTTTTATAGCAGATGCGCTTTACTGTAGTGTTTTGAGGACCCAGTTACAGCTCAGTCGACTCCACACAGCAAAATGATATAAGAAATGAAGACTTGTTTACAGAGAATATATCTTGAATTAGGTTTATTTTCCTTACCCCTGTGGTAAACAACTTTTTTTCTTCTTCTTGTTTTTAACATTTAAGCTTTAAATGAAATCATGTGAACTTATGTTTAAAACAATGGAAAATTAGTCTTATTATTGTATTTGCTTCTCAAGTTAATCTTGTTTTATATATATATATAGAGAGAGAGAGAGAGAGAGAGGGTTTTTTTTACTGGAAAATAAGAACTTTTGATTAAGAAAGTGATTTTTTGGGCCCTTGATTTGCCCTTGAAGGAGGAAAACAACCTTTCTGAACCTTCTGCTCAGGTCTTCCGCCTGGCTCGTTTTTAGCAGCATTCTCACTCACTTCAGCTGAGCTGCTGCATTCAGTATTGTAAGATTATCTACGTTTCTCAATCCCCGCAAACAGAGGCATCCGATACACAATATGTGCTCTAGATTTAACTGGAGGCCATTTCACTTCCATGGCTGAAGATTTGTAAGTGTATTAGTCACACTTGGGTTGTAGATCTGCGTCTCTTCCCAAGACTATTCACTCTGCGAGGCCGCTGTGGGTTTATTGTGTTTTCCAGTAATGTGTTGGATAATCCTAATGCTGGAGTTATGTTGAGGATGTGTGCCAGGGCCAGGACACTGGTGCATGGAGCAGATCTGGCCAGAACAGACTCGACTGGGCTCTGTCTGGCCAGCATGCTGCAGATGGCTAATGTAGGCCGCCACTCCTAATGAGTAACGACAAAGGAAGCCCCTTATGTGGGCCGCCCCTCCTAATGAGTTACCACAAAGGAAGCCCCTTTCTCAGCATGTACTTTCTCTCTCGCTCACTCTTTCCGTCCTCCTCCTCTCTTTCTTAAGTAGATTAATTAGCAGCACTTTCCCTTATCGGCCAAGAAAGTGCTCTCGCTAAGTCCTCAGGGAGATCTCACCAGGGAGGCGCAGTCGCTGCCCAGCTTTTCTGCACTTTATTTTGTGTTTATATGCCTGTGTTAGTGTGTATTTGTGTGGGTTGTTCTGTGTATTTTGACAATATTATGAAGCTGCTTTTGCGTATACAGTGTTCAACAATACTTTTGCAAGTACACAATAAATGTACATGCGACATAACACAATGGACAGTTTACACCATTCATGTCTTGCTACAGCTTTCCAAAATTTATGGATTTTTGGCTTGCATCTTCAGTGTTATTCACTATAAAGCACCCTAAATCTTTAAGAGGCAACTTTCTATAGACAGTCAGTGCTGTTTTGCATATTATTGTGTAAATGCTTGCCCAGTTATAATACTGTTTTTATGCACAGTCATTCTAGCACATTCAGGTGAAGCTCTGGGCATTCGAAGGCACGTTACACAACAAACCACACACAATTTTTTGTAATGTGAACCGTACTGTATGAGATCTGGCAAAACTGCTTTTAGCCATTATGCCCGGAAATCTGTAAACTTTTCCAGGTTGAAATGAGACAAGCTATAAGCATTCAGATTTTTTTTTAAATCTGGTGAAAACATATCTTTTTAAGTTAGCTTTTGAAATTTGCCATTTAAATTATTATTATTATTTATTCATAATGAAACCCATAAGACCTATATCATCTTCAGAACACTTTTTAATGACTTTAATGTTGCTGTCTATGCAGGGTCAGAAAGCTCTCTGATTTCATCAAAAATATCTTAATTTGTGTTCTGAGGATGAACGAAGGTGTTACAGGTTTGGAATTACATGAGGGTGAGTAATTAATGACAGAATTTTAATTTTCGGATGAACTATCCCTTTAAATAACTTATCTATATATTCTGGAATGACATGAGGGTGAGTAATTAATGACAGAATTTTAATTTTCGGATGAACTATCCCTTTAAATAACTTATCTATATATTTTTCTTCTGTATTATATGTATAAAAATCATCAGTCGTGAATAGACAAAACCTTTCATTGCCATTGTAGCACTTTAAGCTCCAAACCAGCTAATCATAATTGTGACATAAATAGCAGTCTGTCTTCTCGGTTTTCACTGGACTAACATGAAGCCAGATCAAGGTCATTCTCATTTCAGAAAGTTCCCTTCTTCCTCACTCGCATTCCCCCATCAAACTAATTAATGTTTTATACTGGTCTCTTTAATATTAGCCCAAAATAGTGCTGGTGTTTGATGTTTAAATCCAGTCGCCGGGAAGTGTAAGCTAAGCATTTCATCAGCGCGACAGGGCTTCTTTAGCCCCAGTAGTGCAGGTCTCAGTGTGAATCTATTGCTTTAGATATGCCTCAGTAATCTGCTATGGGGTGGGAGTAAAGAGGGGGCAGGAAGTATGCTTCATATTTTCATATTTTTAGAAGGAAAATTAGGCCGGTTATGAGCTCTTGAGCTCTTATGTCAATGTATAAGCTGCTCTGAAGAAGGTTGAGGCCACTGAAGATTCACTAAATAATTATTTTATTCTTTCTGCTCTCCTTTCTTTAGACTCCGCCCATTAATATCATCCACACCCAAGAAGAAGACCACAGCAGCCACACCGGTAGGTTGAATGAGTGCCTTGTATTATTACTTCATATTTTAATAGGTTTATTTTACATTGGACATCAAGTGGTAATCTAACATTACTGAAATGTATTTCAAATTTTCAAATTTTAGTAGGCCCATCAATATGCAAAATTTAATTTTATAAATGTAATAGTTGTCATAGTTTTAAATGTTTGGTTTGAAATTTGATGATTTCAGCCAATAATTCACACAAAACACCTGTCATCACAAACCATAGTTATTCTTGTTGCTACCAATTCGATTGGAACTACAGCCCTGGACATTAAAAACCAAATGTATAACTATGCACCTTATTTCATAACTCAAGATCTAATGTGATTACTGAATGACATCCCAGTGCAGAACTGTTTGTGGTCTGTTTTCTTGTTGCCCTAATGAACAATATTTCATGAATATCAGCTTAGTTGAGGTCAAATCAAATTCACTTGACTAAACCTACTTGACTTCAGTGGTAAATCCATCACGATAATCAAATACTTCATAGCTAAATGTCATGGCAGTAAATATCGAACCAGCATATTTCACAATGCTGGGTAAATATGGCATATACATTTAATTGAAAGTCAATATTTGTGATAATGTTCAAGGCACAAAATTTGATGGATTGCCTCTGTGCTCGCTGGGTCTTAGTGTCTCTGTTCAAAATAGTCAGGCTTAAATAAACAGCAGTGTGGCCTGAAATGCATGTACAAATAGACAAAATAGCTGTTGTGGGGGGAAAACCACGCACAACATGATTGGAGGGGTCAACTTTGCTCTCGCAGTGAAGCCCCCCGCTGTCTCATCCAGGTTGCTGCCAAGATGTTCTGAACTAAATCATATAATGTATTTTAACAATTTTATATAATGTATTGTGCCTTTCTCAGAGAGATTCAGAGGAGAGTCATTCTTAACAAAGAAACATTAGCTGTTCGCCCTTTTTTCCCACAAAACAAGAACAAGCAGAGCATTCATGCAGTGCTTGAGACATGCATTAGAGGTCTTAGTTCAGATGTCATAAGAAATTGTAGAATGTATTAAACAGAAAAGTACTGGAATATTATCTTTTATCTTTTTCTTAATTTTCTTCTTCCTAATGAGATCATGAATGCCCCAGCCCAGATTCTCTAGTCATTAGGCCTCTGCTTATCTCTGTGATCCCAGCCCGGGTTACTCACTCTGGGTGTAACCCACAGGTGAGCTGCAGGGCGTCTTCTAGGCGTTTGCCAAGCTTGGCAGCCCCTATTACAAGAACCCTGCTGCTGCTGTTTCCCCTTAACTGGCACTGCCTGAAGAGCGGCCTCACAGTACAGCGGCAAGACTTTCATGCTCTTCCTCCGTTTTTCACAACATGATAATTGATTTAGGCCTCTGCTTCCCCTGAGCTGTACTTCCTTACACAGATGCCTGCTGGGAAATGTAGCCCTGATTCACTTGGGCTCGTTCTTTTCGATTTAATCTGTTTTTTCCTCGACTGTGTAGAATCACTATTTTTAGTTTTTTTTTTTTTTTTTTTTTTTTGGACAGAGAGTAGAAAATGACAGGAAATTATTATAAAGAAAAGAAGCGGAGGGGAATCAGCGGAGGTTGAAGGCCAGAGTCAAACCTGCATTTACCACATGAGCACCATGATTCAACATGTCAGATGCTCTAATGCTAGCCACTACACTATGGGACAGAGTAAGAATCAGTATTGAGCATTATTATAGAAAATATTTGTGAAAAAGAGATTAGGAGTTGTTGCAGGCCAGATTCAAACTTGCATTTTCCACATGAGCACCAAGATTCAACATGTCAAATGCATGTATGTTAGCCTCTACACTATAGTGCTGACTAAAAGTAGCATTTAAATTAATATAATATGGAAATTATTTAGGATGAAATAGGGAAATGTTATCAGGACTTGTTGCAGGCCAGATTCAAACCTGCATAACCCATATGAGCAGTTTTTTGAACATTATTGTGGAAATTATTTGGAAAAAACAGGAAATGGGCTCGGAACTTGTTGCAAGCCAGATTCAAAACTGCATTTCCCACACGAGCACCTTGATTTAACATGTCAGAAGCACATTTGCTAGCCACCACACTGTGATGCTAACTATGAATCAGTATAATGAACATTATTATGGAAATTATTTGGGGCAAATAGGATCGGGACTTGTTGCAGGCCAGATTCGAATCCACATTACCCACATGAGCACCACAGTTCAATTCATTAGATGCACACTTCAGTATTGAACATTATGGAGATAATTAGGCAGATTGAGGGGGAATGGGATCAAGACACATTGCTGACCAGATTCGAACCGTAATCACCAACATAAGCACAACGATTTATATCTGACAGTAGAATTTCAGGGAAGCATGGTTAGTTTATATACAAATCTGTTGTCTCTTATTTTTCTAAAACATTATTTATTTCAGGTCACTCCTAGCATTACCATGATGTTGCCTCCTGCAGCCCCAGAGCCCACTCCGGCCCCCACCCCTCCCCCCGTGTTGGAAAATGAGCCTGTGGCATATGAGGAACCCGCTGAGGAGGAAGAGGAGAATGAGGAAGAGGCAGAGGAGTCTTGCATTAGCGCCATGGAGCTGATAGGTGGAAATGGTTAGTATATCACAGCGGATTGTAGTCGTGTCACTGACAAGGATAATGAAGTCACGGCTCAAGGGTTCAATGATCAAGAGTTTCCTAGATTAGTTCCAAGGTCTGGCTCTTCATTTTGACAAATTGTGTAATGCTAAGTGGGCTGTAACTCTAGCATTTGTGGCAGACTGCATTTGAAGTGTTTATCATCTTGATAAACTGCTCCTATCTCTGCTCCTCTGCAAGTCATACATCTACAAATAGTTGCTTATCACAGTAGTGTCCTAGTAGCAGTCTACCAATATAATTTGATCTAATCTTTAGCTTTCTCTTTTTTCAACATGTATCCAGAAGTGACAGAATTCATTACAATCTTTCTCTTTACAGACTACGGATGTGAAGCTGAAGAAGAGGAGGTATTTTAGACTGCACCGTATCGTCTGTTACCTGAACTTCTCATCCTCCTATTCACTTCTATTACTCCCTATGGCAAGGAGAGGAGAATTTAAGGCACATTTGAGACACCTATAATATGCTGCACGTTTATGAAAGGTCATTCTCCCTCACAGTGCATTATATGACTGGTTAAACTGCAGCATCTGGGTGATGAATGAGCTACAATGGGAGAAGGTGGCTGGCAGCTTTAGATTGAAGAACATAAAACCATTTTAGCACTTTGCTGGTGTTTCACTAAAAGTTCAAGAGACAGGAATCTCTAAAGTAGTTTCCTGAGTATCTCAGAAAATTTGTTTTACAGGTACAGGATTTGAACCTGTTGGTAATTCCTGAAAGGTAATTTGTTGTACATTTACATTTGTTGTACAACATTAATTGTAAATACATAGTAGGAAGCTGTGACAATGTCACTTTTAGTGTTTTAACTTTTTATTTTATGATATGTCTGTATATATGTACATGTAACAGTGTTTTGTGCACTGTTATAATTCATAATTCCATGAAAAAGTAAATGTTCCTGTGTTGGATTATGATACATACTAATGTATTTTACAGCTATGTTATGACCCTCATTTTTTAACTGTTTTCATTAGATCATCAAATGTGGATTTCAGAGTACACAGTGAAAGCAGAATATTTGAATGTGTATGTAAATAAATTCACATCTGTTTAGGATGTTTTAATGATGATTTTATGGTGCTTTTGCATTCATTTTGATGTTTAAAACCCAACTCCCCATTCATTGTAGTTAAATGGAAAAGAATGAGAGCACAGTCGTCTTTTGTGAATTCTCCTTTTATGTTCCACTGAAGAAAGAAGAAAAGTCATACAGATTTGGAACGACATGACAGTGAGTAAATGACAACAGAATATTTCATTTTTGGTTGCACTAATCATTTAAATTGTGAATTCAGAGTTCATTTCTTTATATGTTTTCCCTACATTTCCTTTCTTGTTTCTTTATATATTTTTCATGTCAAGCAAATAATGTACAGTATTACCTTACAGCTGAAATTCTTAAATGTTTTTTGCAAGCTGAACCTCTTTGACCTGAAATATTTACTTGAAGTACCCAGAAATTTTATGTTAATATTTAAATAATTAAATAACACATTCCTATGTTTACAGTTCTTTGATCACATGACATGCAGGCAAACAATTAAATTCTTTCATTTTGATTTTATTTTGAATTTATTGTCATTTTTATACCTTAATTCATCATTAGCTTTTCATTAACTCAAAAACCACTTGCAGTTCCCTCACAAACCCCAGTTAGGCAAACCACAGCATGCTACACATCTACACAGACTTACTTCCCACATGCTACACATCTGTGATACAATTTCTCAAATCAGATTTGTTCAGGAGTCATGGTCAAGGTGGTTTAAGACTTCGATTCATCAGTGCTTCCTGAATTTCATTAGAAGAATTGAGCTTAATGTCTTTGTGCGACTGTGATCCGAGCATTCAAGAACCACAACAGCTGAAACATACGAAACCAGTTTTCATTTGTGAGTAGCCTACTGTAATGGCTAATGATATAGATTTTTTATGAGTCTGTGGTCAGACGAATACCATGGGCTTTGCCTGTGGCTCATATACCCTGACAGAGCTCATCAACAGATAGCTCATTAGAACGAAAGCCTCCAAACAGATCCAGTAGAACCATTTACCCCTAAACAACCATCAGCCTCTGTGAAAGGCCATATTCATACATGGTGGAGCAGTATGCAGCTATCTGGAGGTTTAAGATGTGTTTGCTTTCGAGAGTATGGGGAAACTGCAGCCCATTAAACCCGCTCTGCTGATCAGACTGAAGAGTAACAAGACACTATAATGGTCTGCTTCTGCAGTACTGCAGTCTGTCACTCACATCTGATTTGATTTGTCCACAGATGCAGGCTCAGGGTGCCCTTATACTTCAACTGTATCGGGTTCAGTTCTTCAGAGCATTGTGTTCAAATTGCTTCCCACTCTGTCTGGCTGTAGACCTACTCTGGTTTCAGTCGGGCTGGTATATTAATCACACGGTCCTCTCGGAGCAAGGTCAACATTGTGATTTTAACATCCTGTAGATAATCGCAAGGTATCGCTGGACTGTGTTTCATAATTACCAGCCCAAACTGAATTTAGTTATGTTTCCATGCAGCTTGTTAAGGAGAGTTATGCTTATTACCCTATTTGTTACTTTTTTTAGAGATTGTGCTTGAAGGATGATGACGAAGCAATGAAAGAATCCCGTAGATTTGCATTGAAGGAGAGATGCGAGCAATCTGTTGAACTGAAGGTAGGGTATTTTGACTTGGGCTATTAAAAATTTCGGCCCCGCTTTATATTAAGTGGCCTTAACTACTATGTACTTACATAAAAAATTAAGTACAATGTACGTATTGTGTTCATATTGTATTACAAAACACTTTTGCTGCTATTGAGGTGGGATACGGGTAAGGTTAGGGACAGGTTTGTTGGTATGGGTAGGTTTAAGGGTGGGTTAAGGTGTAAGGGATGGGTCAACTGTAATTATAAATGTAATTACAGAAATTAATTACAGATGTAATTACATGCAGGTATTTTTAAAATATAAGTACTATGTAAAAACATGTATGTACACAATAAGTGCATTGTACCAAATTATTAATTTAAATGTAAGTACATAGTTGTTAAGGCCACTTAATATAAAGTGGGTCCAAAATTTCTTGTAGGTTTGACTTTCTCCCTAGGTCTGTAAAAATGAATGCATAACGTAGTTTGTCTACCTAAACATTTAGGGTGCTTTCATACGTGTAGATCGATTGCTTTGTTCCGAAACAGGGATTAAAATTATTACAATGTTGCTTTTTATTCTTGGTGCGGTTCGCTTTCACATGGCAAAGTTTCTAAAGGGACCAAATTTGTTAATACAAGTAACGCGCGAGTAAACTGTTCTCTCATTGGTCAAAGTTCCACGGTTTATTTTCCGGGATTCCACTGAGCTGTCACGCATGTCATCCGTCAGGATGGAACGATAACAGCTTCGCGGGCTT